TTCAGAAGTACAGTCAGCTTTCCTGGACTGTTCTCCCCATCAGACTGGCTTTCTAGGAGATCCTGCCCATGAATTCCCTCAGTGAGTCAAAGTGTGCTTTCCTGAAGTCCAGGGTCCTTACTCTGCTGTTCTGCATCCTTCGTCTTCTCAGGATCCTGAACTCAATCATCTTGTGGTTACTGCTGTCCAAGTTGTCATCTACTAGTATATTCCCCACCAATTCTTTCTGGTTTGTGAGCAGCAGGTCAAGAAGAACAGGGCCCCTAGTTTGCTGTTCCAGCACTTGCACCAGGAAGTTGTCCCCAACATTCTCCAAAAACTTCCTGGATTGCCTGCTCACTGCTATCTTGCCCTCCCAGCAGATGTCAGGATGATTGAAGTCTCCCATGAGAACTAGGGCCTGTGATTGGGAAACTTCCACTAGCTGTTTGAAGAAAGCCTCATCTACCACTTCCTCCTGGTCTGGTGGTCTATAGCAGGCCCCCACCACAACATCACCCTTCTTGCTCTGTCCTCTGACCCTAACTCAGAGACTTTCAACAGGCCTGTCTCCAGTTTCATACTGTAAGGGCAAAACATATGATGGCAAAACCAACTATAGATCTTCATGTTCATTTAAAAATATCATAATTTAAAAAAAAAGTCATTTCTTGTCATACTTTAAATTTCTAATAGTGACTGAGACCTCCACCCAGACAGAGCCCTTGACTCTGGGCTGTGGGGGCTGCCTGGCATGGCTTCCAGCAACTGGGAATGGGAGCAAGGTCACCCCCACCTGTGGTGTATGCTCCTTAGTGAGGTCCCTGGAGTCCCAGGTGACTGAGCTCCAGGCCCAGGTAGGCAGACTTTGTGCCATCAGGGCCCATGAGCAGGAGATTGATGACTACTACAGTCAGGCTCTTCTGAAGAAAGAAGAGAGAAGAGCATAGATGCCCAACTGCGTGAAGAGACAATAGGAAGATCAACCGGGAGGTACACCCAAGGGATGCTTGGAAGACGGTTGTCTCGAGTCCCAAGACATGCAGTACCAGATCACTTTTCCCTTGGAACTGAGCAACAGGTTCGTATCTCTTACACCACCAGTAGAGACATCCGCAGAAGCACCAGCGGTAGATGCGGGGAGGCATCTAGCTGCCACCCCTAAGAGGAGGCGCAGGGTGGTCATGGTGGGTGACTCCCTCCTGAGAGGGACAGAGAGAGTGATCTGCTGCCTTGACCCCCTGGCCCATGAGATGTGCTGCCTCCCAGGGACCCATATTCAGGATGTGACAGAGAGGATTCCTAAACTCATGTGGCCCTCTGACCACTACCCCATGCTTCTCATCCATATGACACGAATGACATGGCTCAGAGCAATGCTGTCTGGTCATGAGTGACTACAGGGCTCTGGGGGCTGGGCTTAGAGGGCTGGGGGTAAAGATAATTTGCTCCTCGATCCTTCCGGTTACAGATCATGGGCATAGGAGGGAGAGATGTACTGAAGAAGTCAACAGAGGACTGTGGCTCTGGTGCCATCGCAAGGGCTTTGGCTTCTTCTATCACAGCCTGCACTTCAGAGACAGAGAGGCAGCGGTTTGTTTGGGAAGGAACGCCCACCTCACTCCAAGGGGAAAGAAGCTCTTCTCGGCCAGAATGGTTGACCTGTTTGACAGGGCTTTAAACTAAGATCACTGGGGGACGGGCAGACAATCACTAGTGCAAGCCCTGGAAGTGATAACCACGAATCAGCAGGTCAGGTAACATAAGGGAATCACTCCTACCCCAGCCCAAGGATGGGACTCTTCTAAGAAGACAGGGAAGCCCAGGGCTTCCGATGGCAGGCTTAGCTGCTTGTACACAAATGCCAGGAGCATGGGGAACAAACAGGAGGAAGAGGCCATTTTGTTAAGTAAAAATGAATACAATCTCATAGGGATAACAGAGACCTGGAGGGACTCCACCTGTGACTGGACCACAGGTATTGACGGCTATACTTTGTACAGGAGGGATCCTGTTGCAAGGAACGGCGTGGGTGTAGCTCTCTATGTGAAGGAGCAATACACTTTCCTACAAGCAGAGATTGGCACCCAAGGAGGGCAACTTGAGACCCTCTAGGTTAGAATACAGGGAGAAAGTGGTGAGGGGGATATAACTGTAGGAGTCTATTACAGACCTACTAACTAGGAGAAAGATCTTGGCCATGAGTTCTCTAGGGAACTGGCATAGGCTGCACACTTTTGGTCATGGTCGTCATGGGTGATTTCAAACACCCTGACATCTCGTGGGAAGAGCATTCAGCCAAATCTGATCGGTTGTGAAGCTTCCTCACTTGCACTGACAAGCTCTATTTGACTCTAGAAGTCTATGGGCCAACAAGAGATAAGGTGCTGCTGGATCTGGTACTGGCCTTCTTTACCACCTGAGTCTCCAGAGTCTGGAATAGATTCCCCACAGAAGTGGTGGAAGCTGACTTCCTGCCCCTTGGGTAGGGGGCTGGATCCAGTGGTCTCATGAGATACCTTCAAGCCCTAATGTCTATGAAATCTATTTCAGTTAAAAACATATCATTGTGATAGAGCAGTATTTCTCAGCCTTTTAAATAGCAAGTACCCCCTAACTTCTGAAAATTTTAATAATTCCCCCAACACTCAATTTTCCAGGGGATTTTAAATTTACAGACTAAATTGTGCCATATGTTGGAAGAAGGGCTGCGTATATGAAGCCGCGAGATGTCTCATCTGGTGTGGGTAGGGTTGCCACCTTTTACACTAGGGGTGCACAACTCGAGTATGTACCTCAGCTAGAGGTGATGTTGGCCAAAGCTAGGAAGGTTGAACGCCAAATTCTTACTGGGGAATTTAAAGTGCCATGCAGTGTGTGGTGTACCACATTTTTTGCCATAGTTTTGAGAGGAGGAAGGGTGAGAGAGAGAGGAAAAGAGGGCAGGAGAGAGAGAGAGAGTGTGTTAGGGTACCCGCATACCCCCTGCCTGTGTCTTGCATACCCCCAGAGGTACACCTACCACAGGTTGACAAACTGTCATAGAGGATGCAGAAAAGGCTGAAGTGCTCAGTGCCTTTTTTGTCTCAGTCTTCACTGTCTGAAGACAGTGCACTGGGCAGCACAGTTTGGAGAGGAGATGAGCAGCCCTCAGTGGTGAAAGAACAGGTTAGGGACTACTTAAAAAAGCAGGGTGTGTACAAGTCCATGGGTCTAGATGGGATGCACCCAAGGATGCTGAGGGAGTTGGCTGATGTGATTGCAGAGCCATTGGACCATCATCTTTGAAAGCTTGCGGTGATCTGGAGAGGTCCCGTATGATTGGGTTTGGGCAAACAGTGCCCATATTTAAGAAAGGGAAAAAGAGTATCCAGGGAATTACAGACCAGTCAGTCTCACCTCAGTCCCTGGACAAATCATGGATCAGATTCTCAAGGAATCCATTTCTAAGCACTTGGAGGAGAAAAGGGTGATTAGGAAGAGTCAGCATGGATTCACCAAGGGCAAGTCATGCTGGACCAACATGATTGTCTTCTATGATGAGATGACTGGCTCTGTGAATGCAGGGAGACCAGTGGATGTGGTGTACCTTGATTTTAGCAAGGCTTTTGATACAGTCTCCCACAACATTCTTGCAGGCAAGATAAGGAAGTATGGGATGGATGAATGGACTGTAAGGTGGATAGAAAACTGGCTGGAGCATCGGGCTCAGAGAGTAGTAATCAATGGCTCAATGTCTAGTTGGCAGCCAGTATCAAGTGGATTGCCCCAGGGGTCAGTCCTGGGGCCAGTTTTGTTCAATGTCTTCATAAATGACCTGGAAGATGACATAGAGTGCACCCTCAGCAAGTTTGCAGATGACACCAAGCTGTGGGGAGTAGTAGATACGCTGAAAGGTAGGGCTAGGAGTCGGAGTGACCTAGACAAATCAGAAGATTGTGCCAAAAGGAATCTCATGAGGTTCAACAAGAACAAGTTCAAAGTCCTGCACTTAGGATGGAACAGCCTCATGCACCAGTACAGGCTGGGGGCTGACTGGCTGGGCAGCAGCTCCCCAAAAAAGGACCAGTGGGTTACAGTAGACAATAAGCTGAATATGAGCCAGCAGTGTGCCCTAGTTGCTAAGAAGGCTAACAGGATACTGGGCTGGATTGGTAGGTGCATTGCCAGTAGATCAAGGGAAGCGATTATTCCCCTCTATTCAGCACTGGTGAGGCCACATCTGTAGTACTGTGTTCAGTTTTGGGCCCCCCACTACAGAAAGGATGTGGGCAAATTAGAGAGAGTCCACAAAAATGGTGAGTATGGGGGACATAACTTATGAGGACAGACTGGGGGAACTGGGTTTATTTAGTCTACAGAAGAGAAGACTGAGAGGAGACTTAATAGCAGCCTTCAACTACCTGTGGGGGGGGTTAGAAAGAGGATGGAGCTAGGCTATTCTCAGTGGTGACAGATGATAGAACAAGGAGCAATGGTCTCATGTTGCAGCAAGGGAAGTTTAAATTACATATTTGGAAGAATTTCCTCACTAGGAGGAGAGGAACTAGTGTTTCTCTCCAGTAAAACACTGGAACAGGTTACCCAGAGAGATGGTGGAAACTCCATCTTTGGGGGTTTCCAAAACCTGGCTAGACAAAGCCTTGGCTGGGATAACCTATTTGGGGGTGGTCCTACTTTTAGCAGGGGGTTGAACTAGATGATGTTCTGAGGTCCCTTCCAACTCTAACTTTCTATGATTCTATCTACAAAACTAGTTCCCTCACCTAAATGATACAACATAACTCTGCTGGATTGCTATCTTAGTTCACTGGGTAATTCCCCTTCCTCCAACAAGTTAGCTTCCTTTTTCTAAATAAATACTATTAAGATTGCTCCCAAACTGTGAAAAAACCCTTGTTTAATTTAATTGAAGTCCTGATTGAAATGCATGTTGTACAGAATTAATAGTTGGGAAGTTCATTTGGAATCTTAGAAGAAGTTTGTAACATTTTGTTTTTTTGTTAATTTCTTCCCTATAGCTTCTCGATCCTCCTGAATGTGGCAATGGCTTCGTAGAAGATGGAGAAGAATGTGATTGTGGTACTGTTGCAGTAAGTGTAGCGTCTTGTGGGTTGGTACTTTCAGTATCAGGGTTCACCCTGATGTCCAGTTGCCATACATAACTCCCTTTGGCATTAAACAGGAGGGATAAACACAGAATTTAGGGATGTACACAGCTTGGAAATAGGAGCTTTAATTAATTATGTGTTTGTACAGACCTATGCTCAGTGGGACCCAAGCTGGTTGTAACTTAGATTCCATCACTCTATAAAATATATATTAAAATAATAAGATGTGTAGAATCAGTCCTGAAAATATTACTTTTGGCATTGGGGAAACAGTATTAGTCAATCAAGAGCTTACCTAGGTTATGTCTAAAATATCTGCATTTGGCAATAGATACCACACGAGTAATACAATTATTTTCACCATATGGAAATGCTAACTTTAACTGCATCCATAAAGTGAATATTTAGTTGCATTCCAGACCTGGTTAAAATCTATTCCAGTTTAAAAGCACCTTGTGACAGTAATGGATATGAGAGTTCTTGCAGCCATCTGCTTTTCTGTGTAGTATTATCATCATATGTGTTCCTTAGGAGTGTGCCATTGAAGGAGGAGAATGCTGTAACACATGCACACTGACTGCAGGCTCACAGTGCAGTAATGGACTTTGCTGTAGGAAGTGTCTGGTAAGTACAATATATTTAAAGAAATGTGCTGCAAATGCTTTAATATTAAATGGATGTGATTATGGCCACATGGACATGAGTGGCAGACTGCGCTGTTGTTACTGCGCAGTCATTTAGTACTTTACTGCATAACCAAGTACTAAATGACTACGCAATAACCAGCATTACTGCAGTAGCATTCCCATGGTTTTTTTTCCTGAAGCTACTGTGCAGTAGCTTGTTGCAGTCGCATCACAGTTAATGCCCTCCAACCCTACTGCGCAGTAGTCGTGCAGACATGGCCTATGGGAACAATTGTACATGCACAACAACAGAACTGCAGCTGCCTTCCTTTCTGAAAGCTTGCCCTTTAAAATTTATTGAAAACTGTTTAATCTAGGTCTGAGCCTTTTGTTTTAAGATTATGAACTACTTGGAGTAGGGAGCATAGCCAAATTCTGAGGTGAATCTAAGAATGGATGTGGTATACATGAGCATAATTTATACCTTCTCATAACCTCAGGCCTCTTTGATGAGCTTGATTTCCTCTGGGCTTGCTTATATTAACTTATTTGAACCCTCTGACATTTTATCAACATGGAACTTTATACATCTCTCTACCGAGCTGAAGGACTCGGGTATACTGCAAAAGTTACCAGAAGGAACATTGAAGAATATGTAAGTGAAAGAAGACCTGCCCTTACTGTAGCTTGTGCCTTCTATTGCATCTTCTTATAGGGTTTAGCTAAAGCCTGTTGAGCACTTGGGGAGTCTTTCTATTTAATTTAATGGGCTTTGGACCAAACCCGATGTAAGATAGAGCAGTTTATACACCCTTTATACTAAGATATCAGTAAATGGGTGGTAATAGAACTAAGGCAGTCTGACTGTCTAGTTCAGTGGTTCTCAACTTTCTTAGGTTCCAGGCAACCCTAGAGAGACTCAAGGCACTCTTTGTTAGACTCAAGACACCCCTCAGAAATGCCAACTCTTAGCTTTAACTCATTTCTGACTGCATAAAAATAATAGACCTATTCTTCTGTTGCAAACAACTCATAAAATTCACAATGGGTCAGAATGGTTTTAACACTGTGAATTCCTATTTGAAATCTCAGGTTTTATCTTGTGAATCATATTATGTTAGCAGTGATAACATTGCGTGGCACCCCGCAGCACCCTTGAAAGGATCTCAAGGCATTCAGTGTCTAGTGGTACCCTGGTTGACAATCACTGGACTAGTTAAATGCCACTTTAATAAACCACTCTGATTTTCACTCCTATTTCTTTTTGCTTTGTGAAATGCTGAAAACAGTGTTGATGCTCTTCTAATGTGCAGTGCAGTCCTTTTAACTGCCATTAAGCACCATTGACTTGCAATGAGACTTACACTACCAGATGCCTAAGTCAGTTTTCGAAATGAGATTAAGGACTTGTCTATACGTGGAGTTGTGAAAGTAGGTTAAGCCAAATATGAACCAAGGTGCTCTTAGTCAGGAATAAAGATGTCTACACATGAAGTTAATTTCCAGCAGCTTTTTATGTAAACAAGGCCTTATGCTCTTAAGTCAGGAGGGACTTGTCTGCAACATCTCTGTGTTACTCCCAGGACTGTTGCCGACAAGCACATCCTGGCCGTTTGCTTCTGCTCAGTTTATGCTAAATCATGGAAATGATGCAGTTTGGCTGCTTTAGAGTATCCCTGAGCAAAAGCCAAATGTTACCCTCAAGGCAGAGAGCCTTATGCCATCCTCCTCTTATGGGTCACAATGCTTTTAGGAAGACATGCTTGTTCAGAAATAAGACCTGTACAGGTTGTCATTGCTGAATTTCTCAGCCTTAATCATCTTGATATGCTAGAAGTCAGATGTGCTAGAATGAATGTAGAATCTAGCATTATTTTGGACTGATTTCTGCCCTGGTTTACATCATGATAGTGAAATTAAGTAACAGCTAAAATAATACCTCACTTGCTATAGTGGTTTTCTTCCACTGGTCTTGAAGCACTTTACAGATGAGGTCTGTATCACTGTCTTCATTTTACAGATGGGTAAAGAGTCACAGAAAGTATAAGTGACTTGTCCAGCATCAACCAGCAGCCCAGTGATAGATGCAGAAATAGAATGGCAGAAGTCCCAAGTCCAACTCCAATGCTGTATTTACAAAACTACACTTCCTATTCTGTAGGTGTAAATGACTTGGTGGCTTAGAGGCTGACTTGCCTTTATGGTACCAAAAAGCTTTGGGTTCAAATCTTGGGAAATTCATTTTAGAGGAAATCAGAATTATTAAATGTGGGCCTATGGTTAAGACATTGATTTGAGGCTCTGCTCCAATATCCCATTCCTCCATAGATTGTCCTATCTTTGGTTCGTCTATGTTTCAGTTTCCCATCTATAAAATGGGAATGATTGCACTTCCCTACCTCAGAGGGGTGTTGTGAGGATAAATACATTTAAGTGTGCGAGGTGCTCAGATACAATAATAATAATAGAGACCATTACATGTCTTAAATCCTTGATATACGTATACTTTAAACTGAGTAAAACCAACATGGGTACATTCTACTTCAACAAACAACTGAAAATGTATCAACTTTTTTAAAATTAATACTCTTGGAAAATATTGTATGAAAACTATATTCTACAATACTAAGAAGCTGTTTGTCAATACTTGTTTTAGTTTGAAGCTAAAGGAGCTTTGTGTCGGGAAGCAGTAAATGATTGTGACATTCCAGAAAGCTGCACAGGAAACTCCAGTCAGGTAATATTTTACATTTTTTGCCAAAGTGACTAAGTGCAATACATGCACCATCTTATGATCTGGTAATTGAACAGATAGCTGTATAAAAATGCTCTATGATTTAGGGAGAAAAAGTGGTGCTGAAGAAGTTTAGAGATACCAGTAATTCCTTATTTTTACAAATTGGTTTTATGAACCACTCTAAAACATCACTCTCTGGATAAACTATTGGTTATTTTCTCTTTCTCTAGTGTTCTCCCAATATTCACAAAATGGATGGGTACTCATGTGATAACAAACAGGTAATTATTATTTTGATTTGATTACCATTTGTATTTTTTTATAGATGAAAAGCATTTTTAGATAAGTGCTGATTTGAGATCCTTTGAAGTCAATAGAAGTTTTAACATTAATTTTGATGAACTAGCTAGTGCTAGCTTTGGATTTTCATATGATGAATGAATGATCTAGAAAACAGAACTGTATTATGTGTTGGTTAGTATTTCCATCACATATTGCAAAACAGATTGAATGACAGTAGTTCCTATACTGAAAAGTATATCTGACCCAGTTGTGACAATGGTAGAAAACTTTAAAGTTAGTTTTGTGTTTTCTCTTTTTTCTTTAGGGTATTTGTTTTGGAGGAAGATGTAAAACCAGGGACCGGCAGTGTAAATACATCTGGGGTGAAAGTGAGTAAGGTGTTATTGGTTCTAAGCTGATATTCATTGATTCGAGTTGAAATATCTAGATATTTGGTAACTACTGCAGCAGTGCATATGTTTGGAATTATTAAAGGCAGTTAAAATTAACAGGGATTATGTGCGATAGGAAGTATTTACTATGATACTGGGCTCCATATAAAAAATGGAAACTTTGGAATGTGTACTTTGGAACTTTTTCTTTCTCTACCATTTGACCAGGGCCAACTGGGTTGTACCTGTCAAACTTTTAGAATAATTCTTTTCTACTTGATGTAAGAGGGTGAGAATATTTCCCTTTCCTTCTTGCTCTTCTTTCCCTGACCATTGAAGACTCTGCATCATGACTGCCATATTTCCAAATAATTAACACTGTCCAAGGTGTTGATTCATATATTTTTTAGAAGAGGTAAAAAAGAGTGTCTACTCTGTAGAGACTGAGCATTGTAATTCAGTGTACTCTCTTTCCCTAGTACCAGTTTAGGAGAAGCTTTGAGCCTTCCCATTAAGATTTTACTTAATTTAATGTTGGTTTCTTTGGTTCCAATCTGTTTGTTCTTTTGTGTTGGAATTATGGCTTATCTTTTCATCGGTTTAATTCAAAGCAGTTGAAAAATCAACTTAGATAAACCAATGTAACTTTGCATGCAGGCATGCTACTTTTAGTTTTAATCTGCTTTAACCTGCACCTCTAGAAAACAAGATTCATGTGCTGTGGGAAATGTCCTCAAGAAAAGGTCAATCACAGACTTTTTTCAGTATTCCTACTTTATAGACTAATCAAAGAGAGAGAGAGAGAGTATGTGTATGCGTGTGTGCATTTGGAAATATCAAGGCAGGTACATTAAGGAAAGGCAGGATAATCAGCCATATATTTTTTAAGTTATATTGGAGTTTTGGGCCAGGCTTTGGAGTTATTTCCTAACTTGTCTGAACTGGGTTCCTTGGAAACATTCAGAGTTGTAAGTTTGATGGTTAGAACTCCAGATGTTTTTCCCCAAATACTTTCCAGGCTCAAAAAATTATTCTTCCTTTAGAAACTGTTCTTAACTTCTAAATAAGCTTTGGAATGAGGAAGTTCTTAAAGAGAGAATGAAAGCCAATATCTTTAGAATAAAATACTGTATTATTTATGATTTATTTGTTTTAAGACCTTATTTCTGAAAGCTTTTGTGCTTCAAAATGTCCCCCATGTTATTAGAAGGAAAATTTTCTGATTTTAGAAGTGACAGCTGCTGATAGGTACTGCTATGAGAAATTGAATATTGAAGGGACTGAAAAGGGCAACTGTGGCAGAGACAAGGACACTTGGATACAGTGCAACAAACAGTAAGTTCATCTACACTGTTTAGAAAGCAACTTGTGTGACATCCCCCCTCCCCACAACTGGCTGTCCTTTACTTAGTTTTTGGAGCCACTTTCTGCCATGAGACCAGATGAATGAGAAGTCCCCTGGCTTAGGAAATGAGGAATATGACTGTCTTCTGATGATCCTCAGGCACTGTGGGAGAATCTGTTAGCTTGTATCGGCTCCAGGGAGTCTCAGCTACCACATGCACATGAGCAGCCTGTAGAAGGTGCTGTAACTTAGCACAGGTCTCAGATATGTCAGACTCTCCAAACCGTTAGGTCACTGAAGGTGCAAAAGTAGTCCAAAATATGGCATATTATATTTCTAATTTGCTTTCCACTATACTCAAGGCTTGCTGGGCCTGACTCACTGCTGGTTTGCATTTTACAACATCACTTATACCTATATAAATCTGGTGCAAAATGCCACTATTTTGAATTTAAACATTAACATACACTTTGTACAGGCATAACTGACATTGCCAAGGGCAAGGCCATATAGAATTGGACACACTGAAAAAAGTGTACAACTGTTTGGGATGTTTGTGGCTTTTTTTTTTTTGAGTAAATGTGTTTAATCTCCCAACACAGAGATGTGCTTTGTGGCTATCTTCTATGCTCCAATATCTCAAGTGTACCAAGACTTGGAGAACTTGATGGTGAAATCACCTCTTCAGTCATACAGTTGGGAAAAATCTATAACTGCAGGTAATTCTTAAAACCCAATAAAATAGAAAAGGGAAGGTGTTAGCTTAACACCCCCCGCCCCCAGACTTGCAAACTGTGTTAAGTAAATTGCTTACTGGTGCCTTCCTTCCAAGTTAGCGCTGAGGCACGTTATCAGGCAATTGTAGGGCAGCTTGTGCTGAAGATATTTCTATGCTCATTCTGTAGTGAAATAGAGACCTTTTTTTTGTTTGTTTTGCAGCGGTGGCCATGTTAAGCTAGATGAAGAGACAGACCTTGGCTACGTAGAGGATGGAACACCATGTGGGACCAACATGATGTGTTTGGAGCACAGATGCCTACCCACTGACAACTTCAACTTCAGCACCTGCCCAGGCACTGCAGAAGGCAAAATTTGCTCAGGACATGGTGTATGTTTCCACATTCTTTAGCCCTTTTGCATATCTGCTCTCCTGACTGACTGCATCTAATTTTATTCATTTTATTAGATAGTTAATTTACACAGAAATTAACCAGAATTGTTGCTGGTGCAAGTTCTTTTCCTAAGTAAACGTTTCAAGAGAGTATCAGATATATAGGGGTAATAAATACAGGAGATTCAAGGCAGTTAAGGTGCAGGTTACGCTAAGTATTATTACACAAGGTCTATTAATTCTTTTCATCTTTTCCTTTGGCTTTGTTTATCTTTCCTTAGATAATTCACTTGAGACCTTCTAAGTCTGTTAAATGTTAACGTGAATAGTTCCAGATTCTCTTCCATATTTTTAAACTTTTATAATCTGTTGGCAGCACAAAAATACCATAGGCAGCTGGATTTTGTCAGAAAAGAGTTCCTGTGATGTGCAGAGTTTTCAGTTCATTCACCTATACTGTACTTAGTTCCTGTGCCAGGTGCAGAGACATTGAGTTTGTAGGAGTTCTCTGTCCTGTGACTATTCTGACCAGGCTCAGGGGCCCTGCCATATTATAAGATGATCTCCGACAGAACAGACTTAGTCTGAGAATAAAGGAGGCTGATAGCTTCTAGTCCCTCCTGCACTATATAACAATGCACTTTTTGCTTTGAAATTACCCATTTCATCACATATCCTAAGAAAACAGAAATTTGAGGGGCACAGTCTCCCAAATGAAATGGCAAACATGCAGAATTTTGCAGGGCTTTCTCACAGGTTCTACACAACTCATCCTACTATGCATTCCAAATGCTGAAACAGTTTATTTTGTGATTTTTATTTTGAGTTACATTTTGAACTGCAGGTTTGCAGCAATGAAATAAAGTGTGTGTGTGACCGACTCTGGGGAGGAGATGACTGCAGCACCCTTTTCAAAGGTCCTGCAAGTTTTGATGATGATATTACCAGCAAAGGTGTGTACCACATGGTTTTTAGTAATTCTTTCAGTAGGTGTGCTTCTGGTCAGTGTTCAGCAAGCAAAGCTACATGATGCATTATTCAGATAACCTGACCATTTGCTTCCAAAACAGAATGATCACATTGTGAGAAGATTAAAGTTTTGATTTTGAGACTGAATCTATACGGTCTGACTCCTGTAGAATTGAAAAGGAGAAAATGGAACTTGTAGAATTGAATCCATTTTGCTCACCTCATTCATGCAAACGGTCCTACTGAAGTAGGACAAGTAGACTTTTGCCCCAAACTGCATTTCTAGATGAATAGGTCAGAACAGCTTACACATGTTTTCCGCACTAAAACCAAAGGTATATATGACAAAATGAACATGTTCATATTTCTTATAAGATAAGCCTATTATGTAAACTGATTTTTATGTAAACTGATTTTTTCTGGGATTATGTATAAGAGAAGATCATATTGAAATAAGTTGAGATGTAAATGTGTTGGATAGGGTTGGGTATTTGACCAGTCAAATAAAGTTTGGTCAGTTGACTGGTCAAATGATCTTCCGAGGTCCCTTCCAGCCCTAATGTCTATGAAATCTATGAAAATCTATGAAATATTGGTCAAAAATGGGGAAAAATTGCCAATAGGTCCATATAAGACACAAAACCCCCCACAAATTTTCCATTAAGAAATGTGTCAAAAAACAATTAAAAAACATATTTCTGTCAAGAAAACTACAAAAAAATGTAGTTTTTTTGTAAAATTGCTATCATCTTTGGCCAGTCAAAAATATGCAGTCAACAGACTGATATTACTGCAATACACGCTGCCTAACACCAGGTAAAGAGAACCGCCTCCTGAAGCGAAGTAACTTTGAGAAGCTTAGAGGGTACTTAGCTTGTCTATTCCAACCTTAACATGTGTACACGTCCATCTTAAAAAACATTTAACATGTTTGAAAGGTAAGGTATAACAATACCTTTTGTCTATGTCACTTTGGAGGGGATTCAAGATAAGTCAGAGATATTTTTATTCTGGAAGTTATACTGCTACAACTATAGTGATTTAACAGCATTAATAAAATCATATTAATAAATTCTCATGTTGAACAAGCCTTGTATATATTTATTTTAAGCTATGTATCCTGCTTTTGTTTTTCATCTTTTCCCAGGTGTTGTTAGCACAAATATAATCATAGGGGCTATTGCTGGCACCATTTTAGTGTTGGCTCTTGTTTTAGGAATAACAGCATGGGGCTACAGGTAAGTAAAAATGTCATTGTTAATACATTTTGAAAAAATTGAAGATAGTTATGTAATCTGACAGGTGCATATTCTATGCACAAACAAAAATACTGAAAATTATATAAATATACATTTGCTGATCAGTTAGAAACTGGATGTTTCCAGATGATTTTTAGATGGATAAATATTTTAGTGTTCACAAAGTTTGGCCTAGGTTTAGTATATGTTTAATTTGGTAAATTGCCCGGTGTTTGAAAAAAGTAACTGAAATTTTACTTCAATATCTAGCAAAAGAAAGCATAGGAATGAAATATGATTAAAATACAAGCTTTGTAATGGTAAAGTAAATTTAGAAAGAACTACCTTGAGTAAGCAAAGCACTTAATTTAAACAGGTATTAACATTTAATCAGCTTAATCTGAAATTAATTTAGGCAGGGGTTGTTGAACAAGGATGAACTTGACTCGCTATTAAGGGTCAGGTTTTCATCTCACGTTCAGTTTTTGGTGCTTTGCTAAATAAAGGCCAAAATAGTCAGATGAATTTATTTTAATATTAAAGGGGCTATTTTACTTTTCTTCCTTTACTGAATTTCTTTCAATAGGAGTAGTTCTGGTCAGTGTCCAGTTAGGAAAGCAATATGGGTGTTTTTTGCTTTGTCGCTATTAAATTAAGGTCTAATATATATACTTATAGAAAAACCATCAACATTTGGATTAGTATGGTTATACAAATGCCTCTTCCACCGGTGTTCACAGTACAAACCAGGCTTAACTGTTCCAAATGCCATTAATTGGATAGTGCCAAAGTGAATCTGAATATTGAGCTAGTACTATTCTCAGTTATGCTTTGCAGTTTTACTGATGCCAGTGTGATTAATGCATCACTTAAATATTTGTAATTCTCAATATTTAGATGCAAGTATGTGTCTGGAGATTGTGCCCTTCCTTGGACAAAGACCTGGGTACTGATACCTCACCCACAGGGCTTTGGCCAGTAAAAATTGGTGTAAATTAGGGCAGGTAGAGAAACATGTATATAACAGCATGAGAAATGGAGTAATATATGTACAGCTGCAAGCCATTTGTGCATATTATTCCCTGATTTTGGCAAGATCTGACAGTCTGGACTCTGGAATGCAGTTTTAAAAATGAATGCAAAGCTTGTGATATAATTTAGCTAAAACTTTTTATTGACTTACCCCAGAAACATGTTGAAGAAAAAAAACCCGAATGTTCCCAGACTTAATGAGCACATTTTTGTTACTGGTAAAATATTGAAGCATGTGTCATAGCTACATGGACACAGACTCTCCACTATGAATATATTTCTACAGATTTGTTTTGAACTAATATATCTGTGCTCTGTTTCAAAAGTGATTTATTTAGGAATAATTAAAAAGCAAATTTCAGTTTAGCCCATACTGCCCTTTTACCTATTGTTTATGTTACCTTTTTTTAACCTATTGTTTACCAATTGTTACAGGGATGTTCTCTCAAATATAGTCTATGCTACATATAGCAGGCTTGTGGGGCAATTAACAGGCTTGATTGGCATCCCAACATGCAGGATGTTTGGTTAGTCCTAGTCTAGTTCAACCACTGTCAGTGCTGTGCAAGTAACAGCCCAGAAACTGACAGGGTTTTATCAATTTCAAGACTGCTGTTAGAGACAAGGCACTCTATGTAACCAGCCTTAATGGGGTACAAGGGGCTAAGCAAAGGCCAAGCACAGGTAATAGGCATTGAAAATAGGTGTTCCTGCATGGTATTAGCAGTTGCATTGAATTTGGTTTAAATTGGAACCTTAATATTGCAATGGCATTGGGCAGGGCTAGTGTTATTTGCAGAATTTAAATGACTGCCTACCTTATCCAGGGCATCTTAAGTGACTTATACTATGCATGCATGTTGGATACTCATTCTTATTTCTTTTTCTTTTCTATGGAAAGAAACTATAGAAGACAGAGGTATGTGATACAAGTAATGTGAATTCTTCTTCAAGAAAGGTTTTAATTGTTATTTCTTTATTTTTCCCTTTTCCATGATGCGATTGCCATTTTATAAAACAATATTTTGCTAATGATCTTCAGTGGTTCTTTATATTGTATGTATGAAATTATTTTATAAAGGAATATATATCTGAAATATTTGAAAGTGCTTTTTTTCTGCCAATACAGTAAGTGAAATCTGGGCTCTGCTGAAGTCAATGGCAAAACTTCCATTTACTTCAGTGGAATCAATATTTTACCTAGTAAAATATTGAAAAAGAACAATATTTTTGCTTTGTTTTTAATCAGAGATTTAGATGTTCTTGAGTTCTGTGAGCAGCAACGAAAGCATAATAGTCACTAAGTTCTTCGAGTTATTTTAATTCCCAGAGCTCACTTTAATTTAAGTGCATTTGAGTTAAATTCAGGTCCCCAGCTGGAAAGACATGCTCAGGTCCCCAGCTGTAAGCATGAGGTGTCAGTTTCGAATCCTGACCTCCCCTGTCTAAACCAAATATAGGTATTTTCAGAAATTCATCTGGACTCAGATAAACACTGTAAGACAAATGTGAATGCTCTTCCCACCAACTAAATTCCACTTTAGAAAGAACTCATTCTTTCACCAAAAGTGCCACCTTCCACATCCCTTGCTATTCTGTTTCTAGCTATAGACTACTGGTATAAACAGACATCTCATTTCTCCCAGAGGAAAGACTTTTTTCCCATGATCGTACAGACATACCAGTCTTTTCTCCCTCTTTAAGTACCTGTAAAGTATGCAAGAAATATGTGCTTTTTCCCAGGACAATGTTGTGTATGTCTGTAAGTTAATAGCAGCTCTTTCAAGTTAATTGCCAGTCATTCCAAGGACAAGCTTGTCAGGGTGTGAGCTCTTCCTGGCCACTGAGCAGCAATGCAGCTTGGCAGGACTGTGTGTGTAAAGGGCAGTGCCGCTCCTCTTTTGTCCCAGGTTTTGACTCAAATCAATTAGGTCCTCTTCAAATGAGATGTCTGTTTACAGCCTAAGGGTGCAGACAGAAGTTCAGCTCCCTGCTGTAACTAAGAATGCTTTGCAGGAAGTGTTCTGAGTTGCAACAATCCCCTGGACCAAACAGAAGTTCACTGTTGGTTCCAGGGGGGCGGGGAATCTAGCTACTGACTGTGGGCCTGCAGCCAGTTTTCCCTAACAACGGCCTCTCCTCCCTCCCAGCCTGCACTGCTTTCAGAATGGGAGGGGGGGAAGGGAGCAGAGAGAGCTTGTTCTAGGGGTTCTCCAGCTAGTAGTGGAGGGTGGGGCAGGTAGACTGAAGCCCTCCCCCCCTGAGGGCTCCAATCCACCCACTTCACCCTCCAGTGCGAGCTGGAGAAACCCCAGACTGAACTCCCCCCACTCTCTTTACCCTTTCCTGTTCTGAAAACAGCAACAGGCTCAGAGGTAGTGCAGACAGTTCCTGAAGATGCCATGTTTTGAAACATTTTTGTCTGAACCCTCATACAATGAGGGTTCAGATTTTTGTGGGATTGGGCCCTTTTAAGGCACTCTGCAGCTGTGCACTTCTGTTTGGTCATGGCTGTAGAGTGCTTTCAGGGATGAGATCAGGTGAAAATTGTCACTTCTGTCTGTGCCCTAAATGTCTGGTCCTTCACCCATTCAAATCAAAGGGCAAACTCAGCTTAACTTCAGTTGTGGAGGATGAAACTCCAAAGAGACCATTGCTCTTCTGCTTTCCACCCCTGTAAATTAGAGGACCTTCTGTGGTTCTTATTGCTCAGTCTTCTCCTGATCTCTGCCTTTATTACTCTGTCCTGTTCCAAGTGGCTGATGTATCTGTTGCTAACACCTCTTGAACTTTACAGTCCATCTCTTCTGCCTTTGTAGTACTTCCTCTGTCAGACTCAGAACAGTGTGCAGCAAAGAGGTGGATCCAAGCTCAGATTAATTTAGTCTATGGACAGCAAAACACAACAGCTGGTGAGCACTAACTGGGACAAAAGTAGAGAGCTGGAAGTCTAGCATCAGGGAAGAAACTGCAGATAAGAATGTTACACAGGCAGAGCAAAGACAGAAACATGGTTTGTAGGGTTGTTATCTCTTTTAGGAATGGATTATGTATACAAGTGCAGGATGGCTTGGTCTTATAAAGCCACTTGATTGGAGTAAAAGCAGTGTGAACAGAGAATAAGGCAACTTGAATCTCAAATATCAACAGGGCATCTGGCCTTTGCCAGTGAAAACTTAACATGGAAGGACTGAGGGAAAATAAAGCCCTTTAAATTCCATCATCCGAGGATGTTGATAAGTGAGATTGAGCATGGATTCAATATATAGTGACCAAAGAGATGAGTAGTCTGGGAACTAACACAGGCTACAACTATTTGAAGATGCTGCAAGAGTCTGTGTTGTCTCTAGCAAATTTTATTCCTATAGGAAAAGGAATTACTATCATTTGACTTCCAAAGAAATAGTTATGGAAATATATAAGCAAGGATTCAGTAGATGAATAAATTCCCACCAAAATATATGTATTGGAATAAGTGGATACTAATTGTGCAGTAGCCTAATAACACTGTGCAGTAGCGTGTAGGGCAAAAACTGTGCTAATACACTACTGTGCAGTAGTATTTGGCTACTGCACAGTTACCATCACTAAAAAGCCGTGCTGTGGTGCTACTGCACAGTAGCGCCAGTTACTGCACATTGATTTAGTACTTGGTTATGCAAGTACTAAACTTAATGCTCTGTAACTACGGTGCATTAATGAATGTGTAGACACATCCAATCAGTATTAGCTATTAAACCATGATGAAAACAGTCAATCAGTAGGTATATGAGTGTTATATAAGGATTATTATCCAGTGGATTGAAGCAGCCATAACGAACTGTAAAAATTGGAAAGGAATGCATTACCCAGTTTCATCTGTAGCAAGCTACCCTGAAATACATGAAGACCTAGAAAAGCATTGGTCTGCCTGAATAACAACACAATTATTTCTTTAGTAGTAGATTGGAGAACAATAGAAATCCATTAAGATGCTGACCCCTAAAATATTCCTGAAGTGTATGAAGAATGAGATTAGAACTGGTACTCAGATGGCATTTTGAGATAAAGGGAAAAGAAGGCTTGCAGTATACTTGTTTAGGATCTTTTGGCTTATGATTATATGTTTAAAATACCAGGGGAGGGCTTGAAAATTTTCATCTGGAAGTAAAGGAAAATAGAATCTAGTTCAGTTCTCTAGAAGGATGTTACCTACGAGGAAGTAAGCCTCTTGGTAAATGATTTTTTATTAATGGTGACAAACAGAAAAAAAAATACCTTGGAAATGTAATGTCAGTAATTGGGCTACTTGTTTTATGCTCTAAATAAAGTCAAGGTAGTCATTTGTATTAGCAAGCAGCTTTCAGACTGTTAGATTATGTCCAAAAACTGTGATAATTGATGGCTATAATTTTACCATCAAAAGAAAAGTGATAAGATGACACCAATTAGGAATTTCTAAGGTAAATGGGGAGCAGTATGTGTGTAAGGGAAGTGCCACTCCTCTTTTGTCCCCAGTAAACATTGTCTGTTGATAGTCAAAGCCAGAGCTTTGGAGACACTGGCAAAGAATAGATAACATCAGGTGTTGGTAGTCTGACATTACTGCCTCTTGGCAAAATTAGGGATGTATTATGAGAACTATTATGAGAATAGCTAAGCATTTTTAACCTGTACCTGCATCCCACTGAAAAGAGGAACTTTAATAATGGGATGTTTTTCTCTAACCCAGACTAAAGACCTGAGCAAGATATGAATTGTTTTGATAAACTGTTATAAGAAACACTGAACATATTTTCTGCTTGGTTGCAAATCATTTGCTTCTATTGCAAAAAATAAAATATGTAATTTAATCAGAATAAAAACAAGTTGCAGACGAACAAAAACAGATGTTATAATTGAATCTTTCACACCATGGCTCAGAATCAATAAATTCTGATGCCATAATCCTTAATTATTATCCTTTTGTAAACATCTGACAGTGAACTGTAAAGATTCAGCAGTTCCAGAAGATCACTCAAAACTAGGAGCTCTGTCATTCAGGAAACAGATGAAATCCTTAAAACCAGTGTCTTAACAGAATTGGAGTCAGTGCAATTTAAGTAAAATTAATTTCACCGTTATTGCCTCTTTCATAGGTAATAAGTTAAGTAAATGAGCCTTAAACTCCTGTGTAGTCAGTAAACGTTAATGAAAACTGAGTTTCTGTAGTTATCTCTGTGTTTGACCTGGAAACATTAGTTTTTCCATAAGTATTACATTAAAAAAAACTGGCTTTGCAATTTATGCCTAGAAAGCACTAAGGGGCATTAAATTGATGATGGGAATATGAAGGCCAGGATATTAAAAGGGTGATCAATGATTTTTGGGTGCCACCTTAGAACAACCTGATTTTCAGTCTTAAAGCAGCTTGAATTTCAGTGATTGGGGTCTAGGCTTCTGTATAGTTTCACCAGCCACCAAATTAAAATAAAATTATAATGCTCGGTCTTTTTAAGGTGATTTTCTCAATGCTCCTTCATTAGGTACTAAATAGCCACAAACCTGAAAAGTAAACCAAGTGAAAAACATGAGGCTTTAATTCCCTAGAAGTCAACCGGTAATGGAGAATACACCCTATTCCTTCACTTCCTTATTGAGCCAGATTCCTCCTTTTTTTATCCTGTTTCCCTCAGAAGCCATATGTGACCAAGAGGTCATGTATACTGCAGTAGCTGTACCTTGTTTCAGGATGCCTGTTGTTTCCTGATAACTAGGTGTTTTAAAGATATCTCATATATTGGTCATCCAGAAAATGAGATGTCCAAAATGAGCCATTATTAAAAATCTTGGCCAGGGAGTTTCAGTTAAAAGGGAGGTTTCACTTTTCTGAATCCTTAAAAATATGAAAGACTCCTTTCTCAACTCCCAGATGTGTGTTAGTGTTCTTACTGTGTGTGCTATAACAGTTTCTTCATATAGATCATTATCCCTAACTCTTTGTTTTAAAAACTAATATTTGTGTGTGTGTAAATGCATGTCCTGTTTTCTGACTTTCACATATTTGTTATACTTCAGACAAATACCCCAGGGAGATTATGTAAAAAAACCTGGAGAGGCCGACTCTTTTTATAGCGACATGCCTCCTGGAGTCAGCACAAACTCTGCATCTAGTTCTAAGAAGAGGTCTGCTTTTCTGTCGCATTTTCAGATATCTACCTGTTCCATCACCCATTATTCCATTAGTCAGAACATTTCATTATTTTGCAGCAGGTTTGATTCCTTCTTTCTTCTTTTTGGAATGTTAAAATGGCATCTTTCATTCTTTGATTACTGATTTCCATTCCTCTCCATCCCCCCTATAGTTCAGATTCATTTTATTGCTGGTTATTAAAAATCGGTTCAGAACTTTACATTCCATTGAAGTCTTGGATAATGTAATTTTTGACATTTCTCCATGTGGGATTTGCTTTCCAAGAAAATGGTAGTGCTCATAGTGAGCTCAAAAACAATACAATAACTAAAGAACCCTCTGACTTTCACGTCATATTCATGTAATCAAAGAAAAGAAAGAATATTATCTGGCTTCAGTAACAGTTATACAAATTAATTGGTTAATATGAATGTTATTTTTATATCTTTATTTGTGAATGTCATCATTAACTCACTGTATTTGTAGTCGACCTAGATCTTTTGATTTTTGTTCTTGCTGACTTGTACAAAGGAAGGAGGTGCTCACAATTTCTGTCAATTTCACATTCTAGATTAATATACTTAAATGTCAGGAAAGTGTTAACCTAGGACACGATGCTGCAAATACTTATTACTGGCCTTGTACTTATTATTGTGAGGATAGCTGCTGGGCACTAAGTAATGTATCATTAACTTGTTCAGAATTTGCTAATATTTTGTTGCTCCAATTCCTTAAAAAAAGACATTGACACCATCTTAAAATGAGAATGCATTGCAAGCATTAACAGATCATTAGTAGCTTATAAAGCCATTGCCCTCTGTAATCTCTTTGCAATCAGAGATGCTTTAATTATGAAACTCCTTTTCAATTGGGACGTCAGAATGGCTTATGCATTACACAGTTTACAAGAAGCAGTGTGTCACTGTAGGAAAAAACAGTCTTGTTCTGCCTTCGAGGAGAATTGAAGTTTTTGGAGACTTTCCAGATCTTGGCCCTTCACATTATTTATAACTGAGCAATTGACAAAACCACAAAATACTTTAGTGCATTTAAAGTGGCTGGACAGAGCAATTATATACAAGAGATGCTTTAGCAGTACCACTGAATATTCCAAGCAGGTTCAAGTTCCGTTTCCTTCGAGCAATTAAAGAAATCCATGATAAAGACAAATAGATCAGTGAAGGGAGTAGCATTTGAGATGTAATTAACTAATGACATTCAATTTTTTGGATAAGGCTCTTATATTTGAGGAGGTATAAATAATTTGATTTTAGGGAGCATAAGGAAATCCTAAAATGATGCACTGTCTTTTATTGCAGAATCCTATTTCAGCTGCCTTAGTTCTAATATAATCTTGGGAAAGCAAGGTTCCATAGGTTTTGTATTCAGCACTGGAGCTGGATGGCATTCCTG